ATATATATTTTTTTTTTTTTTCAAATAATATATTATATTACCTGTCAAACCTTCCTCTTCCACCTGTAGACCTTCTTTTAATATCTCTTCTCTATATTTTTTCAATTCTTCCAAGTAACTTTTATTTAATTTTTGCTCGCGCCATTCTGTGTCGTATTTGATATTTGGCAGTGCAATATCACCGAGAAAACCACCTGAAATTAATCATCAATGCATTCATTATTATACGATTCTATTCTATAAACGAATTATAAATACACGCGTTGCGCATATAATAAATTAGAACTCTTCCAATCTACAATGTCGCAAGCGTATACGCATCCCTGCGTGCATTGGCGTCCGTTTCGGTTAATTAATTAGGCGCTCATGCACGCGCGCTCGCACGCATACGATCACACCTCGATAAGTATTAACGAGATTGAAATCGCTGAGGTTGTATTTGCAGCGACAAATCCATAAATATAGCTTTGTACGAACATATTGCATATATAGTTGCGAGTACAATTTATTCTATATCACACGTGCCTTCAGGGCTGTAAGTTACTTGTAATAATTGTCTAGTCATAGTATAATAAATTTTTAAAAAAGAATATCTAATGCAAAAGCTGAACACATACATTTTCTATGTAGAATTGCGAGTGCGGCCCTGCACAGCTTCCGTATACGAATGCATGTATATACACGATGCCGGTTACAAACCACGTAATGCCAAACCCCTGTCCGTTTCGAATCGGTGATTTCGTGCCATTCAGGCAGGAGCATCGTTCGAATGTTCACGTAAAATAATTTCGTTGTATATTTCACGTTCATTACAACTAATAAAAAAAATTCTGCAAATCAACTCTTCTTTTAATTTTTGCTGTGGTGTGTGTGTGTGTGTGTGTGTGTGTATTATATATATGTATACATGTATATTTAAAAATCGACCATTCATTTTACTATCTAACATTAAGATTAATGTAATAAAAATAATATTATTATATAATAATATTATTTTTATGTAACATTATCTTATATCTTTAATCAAACAATAGGAAAAGATAAATTCACAATAGCGATAAACACTGTTAAACTTGTTATTTTTAAAGAAAAATTTTGTCAGAAAGATAAAAACAGATTTTTTTTTAAGTGAGAGAAATTAAAAGTGATAATAATACTCAAGATGCTATCGTCTAGCCGTGGAATCGTGGCAAAGAGCCAATCGTGTTGTCGGAACTGTTTCAATCTCCGAATCGATCAGAGAAGCCTTTTCCATTTCCAGGACATTTGCAAAAGCATCTAAGATGTGAGAGATATGTAGAGAGAGAGAGAGAGAGAGAGAGAGAGAGAGAGAGAGAGGAGAGAAACAGATCAAACATTTTATGAAATACGGAATAGACAAGAGCTACTTTATAATTAGGTAAAATCTTGTTTTGATTTTTGTGAAATACTTACATCAATCAATTAATTCTCTATCATCGTTAAATATATTGTCTTATACGCCCTTGCAAATTTTAATTTTTTTAAAGATATATCTTGTTTAACATTAGCAGCATATTATGATAAATTACTTCTAATTATAACAGCCTAATCTAATAAATAGAATATATTTATTAGAATAAAAATATTTACCAATTTGTGAAAGACAACAATTTCTTCAGATTTAATCTTATTAAAAAGAAATTTTAATCTTTAATACATGAATCCTTGCCATAGTGTTATATACTGAAATCTGCAACTTTCAAGCTTATAAGTACATATACTCGAAACGCGACTGATGTAGCAAGAATAGAGTTTTTATCTTGAATTATTCTACATTAATACACAGCAACAGATTTATTACAATATTTGGAAGGATTTTAAGAAGGGTTACAAAGATAATGCATAAACTATGAAATTGAGAAATGCCTGATATTCTCATTGTCAACATTCCGGTTCTCAACATACAATATACAACGTACTGAACGCGTGTATTACTACATATATACGTCCATGGATTACGTGAGTATGTGTACGCGAGTATGTGCTGTATTGATTCGAATGGAGAAACCTCTCGCATCGCGGCGAGTCTCTATCGCGTCGGATTAAACGCTTGCGTACACTACTGACGTCAATTTTATATCTGCTTTCTCTTTGTTTTTTTTTTCTCTTTCTTGTTCTGCGCGCAACATAGAGTATTCGATGATAGTTTTTCTTTTATGATTACACGGCGATATTTTATACCTTTTAATCCTTTAACAATGACAATTCGATCAATCTATACGATACACTGTAGAATCGCCGGCGAATCGAGAGAAAGAAAGTTTGTTCTTGTACTTCTTGTTCAATAAATAAGTAATATTATAAATTATATCAAATAATTAACAAATAAATATTCACAGAATTTTTTATTCCTGACAGAGAATTATTTGTTTCCAACAAATAATTAAACCATCTATTTTATATTTTTACAATTAATGAGATATGTATTTCTCAAAAATGTATATTTTGTCATCACAATCAATTTTTTTCATAACTAATTTTTCATAACTAATATCGAAGAAAACATCATAGGTATAACATTTACTTCGCGATATTTCAACATTTTTCTCAATGTATATTAAAACAGTTACTTAAAAGTTTATTTGCGAGACACAATATATATTTTACTAAAATAAATTATTATCTATAAACCGGTAAAAAAAGAATCTTATTTCTCACAAATAAATTATCTATTTACTTTCAATTAATTAGTTATGTTTTACAAAAATGTAAAAATTTTTTGTCATTAATAAAGATACAATGGATATTTGGCAACTCCATCCAACCTATTCAATCAGTTTTTACAATCCGATCATTTACAATCCGATTGTGAAAAAGTCATTTTGCGCAATTTGGATAGAAATAATAATACATATTTAAATTTTCAAATCATTTTATTATATGTATTCCTGTACTGAAAAAAAAAATTGGCTGCTGCAGTAAATTAGATGATAAAATATGGCATAGCATTTTAATTAGCTGTAGTAGCCAATTCTTGGTTGCCAATTAAAATGCTGTACCGTATTCAGCAAATCTTTTCTTTCAATGTGACCAATCTATAAACTAAGTATTCTTTTATTATTATTTAAATATTAATTAAAACATATACATATATCGGGTGTTCAAAATAAATCGTTACAAATTTTTATCTCGGAAATACGGCATTATTGAGAAAAATGTTCAGACAAAAGTTGTAAGGTTCAAAAAGGTCTATTTGCTGATCTTATCAATTTGACCTTAGGCGTCACCAAGGTCAAGTCAAGGTCATATCGATTTTTTTTTAATGGAGCACCCTATTTTTGTTTCCAGAATCTAATAACTAATGTCGAGAGCTTTCCAAAACGCTATAAGAAAATATTTTTTCATGAAATACTTTTTGAGTTGTGATGCTTGAAGATTACAGTATCGTCGATATTAACATTACCCAAAGTGTTCGACCGATGGCTAAAACCTCTTAAATGATAATTCAAAATCATGTCCTGGATATTATTTATCAAAATCAAAGTCATTGAAGGATTGTATCTCTTATTATCATTTTTAATGAATTTTTATTGCAAGAATGAAAATAAGAGGAATAATCTCTAATGGCTTTGATCTTGACAAATGTTATCCGGTTAGAATCTGGAATCAAAAATAGGGTGTTCCAATAAAAAAATCGACGTGACCTTGATCTGACCTTGGTGATGTCACCCAAAGTCAAACTGATAAGATCAGTAAATAGATTTTTTTGAACCCTACAACTTTTGTCTAAACAATTTTTCTCAATAATACCATGTTTTCGAGAAAGAAAAAATATTTGTAACGCTTGTAACAGAGAGAGAGGGTGTCCCGAAATTCAAGGGTAATATTGCAGTATGAAACTTTGTGAAATATCAAATAATAAAAATATAAACCATTTTTTTCTGCGAAGTAGTCTCTTAAGTATAATCGTTTAAAGTTTGATTAATCGTAAGCGTTAGTTAAAAAGTCACCTATGTCACATAGGTGACTTTTTAACTAACGCTTACGATTAATCAAACTTTAAACGATTATACTTAAGAGACTACTTCGCAGAAAAAAATGGTTTATATTTTTATTATTTGATTTTTCACAAAGTTTCATGTGACGTGCGTGCAATGGTGGATACGTTCCGAGTTACGCTTGAAGCGCATGATGCATTATTTGTCCTTGTTGTTCATCAAAAAAGGATAAAAAAGGATAAAACGATACATCATGCACTTCATGCGTAACTCGGAACGCACCCGGTATCAGATACTAAACAAAGTATTATCGCTGTGCTAAATATTATATACATTATCACACGAATGACAGATAACCAACGCTTATGATTGGTCAAACTTTCAACATTTATACTTAAAAAACTACTTGAAGGAAAAGAATGGCTTACATTTTTATTATTTAATTTTTCACGAATTTTCACGCTGCCAGGAGGTTATTATTCCCAAATTTTGAGACAGCCTGTACATATATGAATTTAAATTTGAAGTAATACACAACATAAAATATAATGTAACATATGTTATTGGTTCAACAATTAAATTTAAATGTAAAATATTAAAATATATTTATATATGTGACATTAAAATTATATTCTATGTATAATAGCCACGCGATTGTTTTTGCACGACAAAATAATCATTAAAGTATATAATGTCGAATATGCGAATATACACATTTTCCACACTAATTACAAAAATAGACTGTTTATTAAGAAATTCCTCTCGAGATTCCTCTCGAGGTGATTGCCACTTTGTGGCGAATATGTCGCGAACGATAATAAGTTTGTATTAATAGCGATTCATTGTGTTTATGACATTTCTCAATAACGCCATTAATCTGAGAACAATGATTATTGTAACGATCTGGCTGGTGGAATTGATCTCAATCGTAAAGGAGGTGAATGACAAGTCTTTATAGTTGTATGTGGCATCTGTTTCTATCTTCTTTCTTACTATTCTTCCATCATCATTCATCTTTCACACCAGATGAATATTTGATTTAATCCTAAAGGATAAGTCCTCATCACGTTTAGCTTTTGCATCACTTGCTACTTCCTGAGTTTGATTGAATGCCATAATTTTGTTTCACGTTCATTTAGAAAATATATACAAAAAAAATCGAATAATTATTTCTTTTATAAAATCTCTAAAAAATGATCGAGGAAAGTAAAATTAAAAGCAGTCAGATCTCTGAGAGTCGCATTTCGAGATGCAATATAATCAGAATTAAAGAAATGCAGTTATGGCTATAAGAAACAATATGTGTGCGTGCGTGCGTGCGTGCGTGCGTGCGTGCGTGCGTGCATGTTGTGTGTGCGCGCGTGTGCGCACGAAATTAATAGTAAAGAAAAATGTAAAGAAAAATAATAATTGTAACAATATAGTGTTACTATTTTATTATAAATTATATACACCTTAAATATAACACAGAGCTCAAATATAAAATAGAGTGGTATAACAAAGATAATTATATAATTATTATTGTATACATTATATATTATTTCATCCATCTAATTGAGCACATTATATACTAAAACAATGATCGAATTTATCTGAGTGTGAGCTTGCTTATCATATCCAAAGCCTAGATGCTTACACTGTTAAATTTATAATGTCAAATTACAAATTTAATATTGAATAATTTTATTCATTTTTATAGGTCTATTGCTCCTTTTCAATATGTCATTAATTTTAGTAAAATAATAAAATTAAACTCAAGAAAATTGATTAATTGTCCCAAATTTATCTTTATTATTTACTAAGTGCATACATTAATATATGAACATTATTTACTTTAAAAATAACTACAGAAATGGATTGATTTATATTTTGACATACATGGAAGTTAACATTAAAAGTAACAAAATGTTATTTAACTGAAGGAATTGGGTTGCTTTTTTGATATTTAACAGAGAATATTGTTCTAAATAAATGGTAAAGACTCATCAAAATCTTGTTTCCTCGCTGGAATTAAAGAAAAAGCTTTACAAACTGCGTGTCGGAGGCATACCGAGGGTTAAAAGGTTATCTCTCGATGTGATAATCAAGCAAACAGAAGGAAAGCAAGGCGAATGGCATGTTACATCCCGGTGGTTTAACCAAGAAGATCGAAGAGAATCGATTTGCATTGATTTAATAAATGTTTTAAATAATGCTTTTTATATTCCTCGCAGATTTAATTTTTTTTAATCACTTATAAATATGAAAAGGACTTGTTTACTAATGTCTTTTCGGTAGTGTATAATTTATACATTTATATTATATATTTTCAGTATTAATTATTGCAAACAATAAACTTTAGCAAACTGTAATTAAGAATCGTGTATTTTATTTGCTTTAAAATCTCTATTGCCATTCATGAATGTTTTTTATAATTGTAACTTTAACATTTATTTATATTTGGTATTGTTGTACTAAGTACATATGTATTTTCTATACTAATGCGTCTGTAGTTTAGTAGTTTCCTTGTTTATACATTTTTCCTAATTTTATTACTGTTGATTAATCTACTTGTTTAAATATAATATTAAAATAATATGATGTTGCACATGAATGGATGTTATGTATAATATGATTTAACTTAGAACGTTCAAATATATGCGTTGATTCGATATTTAGATATATAGTCATCAATTACACACACACGCGCGTGCGTGCGTGCGTGCGTGGTGTGTGCGTATGCGCGCGCGCGCGCGCGCGCGCGTGTGTGTGTGTGTGTGTGTGTGTGTGTGTGTGTAATTTTACACCTTGCGGTATAACTTTACGTCGCATCGTTCGATTTGTTTTGATACTGCTATCAATTACAAGCTGCATATAAATACGTAAAAATATTACACATAATCTTGTTCGATATTGTAAACTATCTATGTACATGATATTCCACGCTTAACTATCATCCTAAAAGTTTCGATATTAATCAAGGTAATAAATATATGCATCATAATGCATAATAATAATAAGACTAAAAAGATTTATTCTACATTTTGTCACGTTACCATTAAATTTTCCAACAGTATATATTTTTATGCATTTCAAGTAGTGATACAATAATTGAAAATATATAGAATATTTTTTTAATTAGATATGTATATACTATTATTATATACTTGTCGTATATACTTTAACTTAAAATCTTTTAATTTAAAGAAAAAATTAGTTAAGAGGAAAGCAAGCATCCAACAAATAGGAAAGAAAAAGAGGAAGTGGAAAGGGTAGAAAGAAAGAGAACAAGAGAGAGAGAGAAGGAGAGGAGGAGAGAGAGAGAGAGAGAGAGAGAGAGAGAGAGAGAGAGAGAGAACCAAAGGACAAGATAGAAAATTCAGAAGAAAAGAACAAATCATGAACGAATGTTTCGTAAAGATGAAAATTTAATGTAAAGCAATGTGAAAATAGCTTTTAAGCGAAAACTTTGCAGAAACATTTATTTTTGTACTAATTAAACATTGTTCATTATGAATGATAAAACTTTTTTTTATATAAAACGAGTATCAATATTTTTTCATTTGAAAGATAGGTATTTTTGAACTTTTAAAGCTGATCGAAACAAATATTTCAAAGAAATTCTCGGTCATTCAAGAAATAGAATCATTTTCTCAAGATGAGACCATACGGTAAAATTTGTCATTTATTTTTAAACAAAAGAAATCACAGTGTATACATACAACTAGATACTTTAAGTATAATCAAGAGAAGAGAAGAGCGCGTGTTCTACAACACCATGCATCAGAATTAACGTTTCGAAAACACGCGACGGTGATCTGGCCAACTTTTTCTTTAACCTTCTAAAGTAATCTGGAGCAATATAGAGAAGTATGACATGCTTTTTCCTCATTATAACAGACATACATATAAATGTAGAGCGTACTGATCTTTGTAGGGGGAAACTTGTTTCAAATCTTTCAAATTGGAAGCTAAGTTTTCGTAAATCGTAACGTAATCGTAGGAAAAAACAAACTTTTTTGAATTGTAATTTTTTTTGCATAAAACAATTATGTATATGTATAATTTATACCTAATAAATAAAAATTTAAATGGCCGTATCTCACGCCCAATAAACCACATGTCGAAATTTATCGTTTTCTATCCATACATGTTTATACACACATATATATATATATATATATATATATATTATGTGTATATATATATATATATATATATATATATATATATATATATGTTAACACACACACACACACACACACACACACACACACATAAAATGTATTTTATTACATACATATACATATATATGTATATGTTATAATCTCAATTAACGAGATTGAGTCTAATGGGGACATATTTAATTATAAAAAAAGTTTGTTAATTTAAAGATTGTGATGTTTGTGCAAATTTGACAATCCAAAACAAATTTCAAGTCATTCTACTCAATCATTGCCATTTTTGTGTTCAAGTCGCTAATAGATTCTTTACAAAGAACAAAGAATTTAAAAACTTTTATTAGCGATTTACATCAATTGTATTTGCAAACCATCGGATATAAAAGATTTCTTCTGCGTTTAACTATTTTTTTTGTAATTAACAATAATCGACACTATGACATTACAACATTTGATGTTGAATCAATAACTACCAGACAACACAAAATCCAAAATTGAGACAAAAGACATGTCTTTTAGACACAAAAAATGCATCTTTTATTTCCATTTTGGACATTTTGTGTTATATTACTTTGAGTTTTTTCACTTTGTTATTATATTTCTCAAAGATTATGTGTGCGATTCTTAAATATAATAATAGATATTTTATGTGCGAAAAGAAAGTGACGAAGAAATGAACAAAATAATGCACCTAAGAAACACAAACGTTGATTTATCCGCATTCTGTTTAAATTATATTGTTTAAAACGACTATTATTATTCTTATATATTAAAACGATGATTCTATTTAAAGGAAAAATTTTATTCTTATTTTTTTTCAAGGTAAGCTACCACACTACGTCTGAAAAATATGCCGTGTCATATCATTCTTCATCCCCATCATCTCCTTCTTTTTTATTCTATTGCTGACTCGTCTACAGTTCGCGAGACACTTCCAAGATAATCATTTCGAGAAGATGAAAAGACATCCCTATCTCTTCGTTCTTGCAATCCTCAAGTCTCAGTCGAATTCATCTTGAATACAACGAGATAGGTCTCTAAAGCTCTAAAAGAAAAGGAATTACCTAATGGAAAACAAAAATCATTTATTCGAGAATAATCAGTGTCCCTTTCAAAGACCAAGAACATTTATCCTTAATTAGTTATCTATTGATATTATTATTTTGTTTGTTGTCAATTATATTATAAATTGCTTATACCTTTGTCATTGAATTTTTGTTTAAACAATCACTTCAAAAGATAGAAAAGGAGGCATATTGAAGAATTAATGTGTTTTAATTAAGCAAATTCCCCTTCAATTAAAATTATAATAAAGATGATATACTTGAAGTTAAAGAAAGAATCAGACGTACATATGTAATTAGATTACTCTCACATGCATTTGTAAAAATCTGTTTTTCATTTGTAGCGATTACAATAAACCTATGCCGGGCTACACTGCATCATGTCGTGTTTGAAATGAAAAAAATGTATTTGATATTAAAGAAATTCATAATTACATCTATTTTTCTATAAATGCCTGCATTGTTTTTAGCTAATCCGATATACATAGTTACTAAGTAATTACATATACTAGTGTAATATAGTATAATATAGTATAATATAATTACTAGTCTTTCTTTACTTTTTTGTACTTACCTGCTTTGCAAATATCAGTGTCTAAATCTCCAGTAATAATGTGCGGAAACTTGGTGTTGAATAATTCCTCGACAGAAAACTTGTGTCGTCGTTTACCGCGCTCATTTTTATCAGTGTCATTTTCAACAGCTCGGCAATCGACGATCTTGGCCAGCAAGTAGACGATTGCGAGTACCAAGAATGTCCTCATCTCGAGATTATCGTACAAAATATTGATATGGCGACGGCGACGCCGGCGATGACGACGACGACGATGATGACGACCACGATGACGACGTCGACGACGTCGACGACGACGACGACGACGACGACGACGACGACGGCGGCGGCGACGACGACGACGACGACGACGACGACGACGACGACGACGACGACGACGACGACGAAAATAGTCTCTCAAATACCAGTTGGATCATAACAAATCAAACGTGCTACTGTCCGCGCGTATACATTTTTATCAATGAAAGAAATTCAATCGTGCAAATGAAAATTTTAATTTTTTTACGTGAGTAAGTCATTGATCACATTAGTATTCCGCACGCTTTCATTCAACAATTATATGAGACATTCAACATTCACGTGAGAACAACTCGTAGCAAACGCGAGAGAACTCTCGGAACTCGGAGAACTTCACACGGAATATCTATTGCATAATATACATTCAATCAATTATCTCAAACATATAATTTGGTTACTGAACAATTAAAATTTACGTTATGATTTGCCACGCGGAGCGGACGGCAATCGTCCTTGCGTGGAGAACGTGGAGAACAGACTGATGATATCCCTTGCGACAGACACGAACGCGTCGTTCGAAAGCGCGCGCTCATACTGACATTAAGTCGTGAGAGGGATGAAGAGGAAGGGGGATATATATGTGTATCCAGAGGGGATGCCAATCGGTCCCCTCCTCACAAACGTGCACAGCACGAGGGTGGCCGAGACACTGACCGAGCTTCCGCACTTGGAAGAATGTGGGAACGGAGATTTCTCAATAAGAGATTTCTCAATAAATGAGACACACGAATATTTTTCTGCGAACTGCAGAGAGAGAGAGAGAGAGAGAGAGAGAGAGAGAGAGAGAGAGAGAGAGAATATTTATTTTCATTTAAACAACATATCATTTTAACATTTGCCTTTAAAGAACCAAAATAATTTGACGAAATAATAAATTTTTATTACAAGACAAGAAACATATGTTGTTTAATGATTTCCTGCTTCGATTTAGGCGCTTTCTTTGTTGCCTAAACAAATATATTCATCATTGAATATTACAATTAATTTGCAATTATGAATTGTCAAATTAGAAAATGAATTGTACCTTGGCGCGCTTGCATTGTAAGTAATTTCTCTGAGATATAAAATGTAGAGACATTTAAAGTAAATGATGTACTTGATTATTCAAAAAAATAATTTCATTATATTTATAAGCAGAAGCATATATTTGTTACCTTTATGCGAGCACAAAAGAACCGTTTAAATATTAAAAGTATTTTGATTAATAATAAAGTACACAAAAAATAGTAAATTTATACATTACTGATTGGTGAATTTATGAATACATTCTTAAATAATTCAAAATAATTCAGGGTTACATTTAGTCCTTGGAACATGTGTTTCACATCCCATGTGAGATTCCGTGGCCGGCGTCCAGTATCGAATTACGGTCATGTTGAAATCATGACCGTTATGAACACTGCTCATTTATTTTAAAAATAAATACATAATAATAACAACAATTTTTGAAAATGTAGAAAGCAAGAAGCGAATTTCTTTCAATACCTTGCATATGACTGTATCTTGCATTCTGATTCATCTCTCAATAATATATTCAAACATGTAATTGCGGTAATTTAACTTATTCAATTTAGCTTGACTCGAGAATAATGTAATGCACGGTTTACAATGGGCAGTAACAATAGTTGATTAAGAAGTAGGCATAAAAATCGACCAATCAGTTGATTATTTTTTTCACATTCAATGCACAACTATGATTGGTCGATTTCTATGCCTATTCCTTAATCCACTACTATTACTACCCATTGTAGATTATGCATAAGAAATGAGATA